TGCAAGTGTCATTTAAAAATTTATGTATCAGCGACCACATTTGTTTCCTATCATAATTCCTTTCCACAGAAAATATTTGTCAAACAACAAAAAGGCTTATTTTTGTTTTAAAATACTTTCTTACCACAGAAAATAACTAATGTTTACAACAAAGTCCAGTTAAACAATTCATGAAACAGACAGTTCATAGATATTTGAAAATGTCATCAGCTCTCACTTGAAACCAACATTTGCAAAAATAACTATCATCTTGTTTCCATAATCTAAAGACCTAAAATAACTGTTTCAAGCTGAAAGTAACTTTAACTTTTAATACAAAACTAGATGGCATATTTTAAGTCAACTAGAGAAGAATTTCCGTATCTAGCTTTAAGTGTCAAGAGGTACCTTTACTAAAGTCCTGGTCTTCTAACTTTTTGTTTTAAACACACATACAAACTGTACATTATATGCTCCAGGAAGTGAAAAGAGCCAATCTATAGCCCAGAGTGTACATTTGGACTTAGACTGACTGGTGCAGTGACTGTCGGATAAGCACTAGGCTGTGAATCATAAGGTTGGTGGTTGGAGCCCACCAGTCGCTCTTTGGGGAGAAAAAAATGGGGCTTTCTACTCCTGCAAAAATTTACAGCCTCACTGAGTCAGAACCGACTGGACAGCACTTAACAACGGGTCCATCCTGCGTTAATCCGGAGAGTTCTGGATGCTCTACTTTAGCACTGTTGGTGCCACTTCCCACTCACCTAGATTGAGACCAGGTGACAATTTCTTACAGGAGTGCAATATGCAACAAACAGGCTGGTATAGTCTGGGCCCTTGGATCAAGTACGTTAGTTAAGGTAACTTCTTCCACTACCTGCAGGGGACGGGCATTGCCCGGGGAGAACCTAGTTAAGCGTCACCTTCCCTCCAAGGTACCAAAGTACTCCAAAAGGGAACGGGGGAGTCGACACACCTCAACACACATTTTTTTGGTTCAACACTCTCAAGAATTCAAATGCCTACCTACTGTCTGATTTACCTTCCCTGCAGAGATATCCAACCCAGAGGGAGCAGCCGCGAACTCTGACCCAGCACCCATGCAAAGGATTAGTTAATAGGGCTTAAGGTGGGAGGGGGGAGCGCCCGCCCTTTTCAGGAAGCCGCGAAACGTTATTTCCTGTCCTACTCCCTCCAAGATACTCTCCTGGGGCGGTAACCCCCCCCCCCCCAAAACACACACTCAAGTGTCCTCCCGCCAGCAGTCACCTCACTTCAGGGCTTCCCTCCGGCCTCCTCCCAGGACTTCCTCCCGGCTGCTCCGCTAGGCCCCAGGACCTGGCACCGTGGGCGACACTTGGCCTGCAGGCCCCACCAGGCAGGCGGGCGGCGAGGTAGCCTCCAGCCTATTCCCGCCGCCATTTTCCGGCGACCGTCGCCGCCGCGTAGGGGGGACGATCCCGGAGGAGGAGACTGCGCAGGGGCGCACCGGTCTCCACCGCAGGGCATGAGAGGGCGTCTGCCGGCACAGGGAAGCTTCAGAATCTTAAAAACCTTCCCTCCTAGACCATCCAGTTCCCGATTTTTGGACTCCTGCCGTGCCTTTCCTATGGGCCTGTCGACAAACCCGACATCCCCGCGCTTCTACTTACGCGGAAAAATCCCGCGTCCATCTTGCTGCCTCGCTCGGAGATCGCTCCCTATCCCAAGGTGCACCGCGCCGCCGCGACGAAGGGCGGGATCCGCCGAAGGGAAGCCGAGATCCCGGACGCAGCGCGCGCCACTCCACCCGCCCCCTCTAGGCGACACGAAACTGCGCCTGCTCAATGACGAGCCAGTCGAGCACGCGTGCGCTCTTGCGTTCAATGGGAGGCCTGCTACCGGCCAAGGTTCTTAAGTAGCCAGTGGGAAAGTCAAACCTCGTGGCCGCAGCCAATAAAAATAAAAGAGAACGACCACGGGTAGCCCCGCCCTGCGAATCCTTTTGTGGCGCGTGATCAGACGCCTTCGCGTATCGTGATGTGATCCATCCTTCGACCCGTAGTGGAGGAGGCCTCCCGCCCTAGAGGTGCCTTGGAGTGATTGAAGCGTTACTTTCGTGTGACGTTGGTAGGTGGCCAGTGCGCAGCTTGAAGTCGACCGCCTCCCTCTGTCATAAAAGTTGTGATTATGTTGTTTTTCTTAGTTTACTAGTTATTAAGATTGGCTCTGGAGTAGTCAAACTATATGTTGTTGCTAAGTGCCATAGCGTCGGGTTCAACTTATAGCGATCCTGTATAGGGTTTCCGAGGAGCAGCAAGTGAGTTTGAACTGCCGACCGTGTTCGCAGTCCAGTGCTGATCCTACAGCGCAACACCCGGAGCCTTGTCAGACTATATAATATTAATGAAATCTGCATTCAAATCCAATTTTCTTGGTTTTCCTCATCTCCACACAACTCAAAAAGCTGGAAGTAGCCGTTAGTTTCAGTTTCAGAAGCTGAGGAGCAGGCGAACGCGCGGGCCAGGCCAGTCGGCAGAAGTGCGGTGCCGCCTCAGTTCCTTTGCACAGGCTGTTGTTAAGTACCATCGAGGTGCTTCCAACCCGTTGTTGTTGTTGTTATGTGCCGTGAAGTCGGAACCGACTCATAGCGACCCTGTACAGGGTTTCCGAGGGTGTAAATCTTTACGGGAGTAGAAAGCCTCATCTTTCTCCCGCGGAGCAGCTGGTAGTTTCGAACTGCTGACCTTGCGGTTTACAGCCCGATTCGTAACCACTACGCTACCAGAGCTCCTGTAGGCGACCCTATATAGGGTTTCCAAGGAGCGGCTGGTGAGCTCGAACCGCTGACCTTGCAGTCCAGCAAATTAACCGGCAGGCCCCACTAGGCGACACTCCTCAGGCTGAGGACCTGCAAGGCTCGGGCAGTGTTTCCACTGAGCTTTCTCTCCCTTCTTGCTTCTCTGAGAACAAGTGTCAGTTTCTCAGAGATGACGTCCCTGCTTGTCTTATTTGAAAGTAACACCAACAACGAAAACAAAACAAAAATACCATCTATCGCCAACTCAGACTTCTCTCCAGAGCTGCCCTTTGGAATTGACTTTCCCACTTGAATAGGATTTATTGGTTATCTCAAACTTACCATGACCCAGAGCTAAACCCCTGATGCCCCTCAACCGTGGCAAACAAGCCAATAAATCCTGCTCCTCCCAAAGTTGTCTATTTTCCTTTGCTTAGCACAGTTGTGGGAGACAGAAGACCCCCAATTCAAATATATTTTATGTTTCTGTTGTTTAGTGCATTTAAGTTGGTTCCAACAGAACAAAACACTTCCCGATCATGTCCCATCCTCACAGTTGTGCTGCCACTGTGTCAGTTCA